ATTGGAGATTAAAAAACTACTATTTAACTTTTGAAATTTAATTTATCGTATTTTTGTTATAAATTTATTTTTAGTAATTATATATTTTTATAATTTATATATTAATACTTATTAGAGATTAAACTATTATTTAAGATTACACTATTTATTGACTAATTTAGTATATTTTCAGTATTTATTATATTTCTGTAATTATTGTATTTTTATTTTATATCTATTATATTTTCATTATAAACTTATTTTCAATGATTGTGTACGGTTGCTATAAATTTTCAATAATTATTGGAGATTAAACTATTGTTATTTATTAGATATTAGACTATAAATTTAATTAAAATTAAGAGTGTTCAATGGTTGGTTCAGTTCAATTGCAAGTTGTTTTGCCAACCAAATTAACCTGGTCAAGTTCGCACATTGTCACTCAAAACCGATTGACCATTAGCGAAAACCCACCAACTCAGGTTGTATCGATTTGGGTCTATTTTCGGTTTAAATTGTTTGTTCAAAAGATTTAAACTTAAAAAAATTAACTTTAAATTTCATAAATTACAATGATATTATTAAAAAATAAATTACAAAWRTTAAATCTATGATATAAAATATTTTAGACTAACAAATATGGGAATTTTCCTACTTTCCCGTATTAAAAAATTAAACTTAAAATATAAAATATTAATATATATTTATTAAACCAAAACCAATATGAAATACTAGAAAACCGACTAACTCGGGTTGAGTTTGATTGGATTGCTTATTAAAAAGTTCAAATATAAAATAATTATATACTCTTATGTATTTCTATTGTTTAATTTTCGCTTAACAAAGCACGGGTCCTCGTCACCATGCCTCTCCTTGCTCCATTATCCCCACCCTGCATTGGGTTAACTTTGGCTATTAGGGCCCAACAGCATAGGCTATTGAGACAGTTTCCGGGCTAGGCATGTTTTGGGCAGTTCATCTATTCACACCCATGCTTTGGTTTTTAATAAAAATAAATTAATATGTAATTACTAGTTTACTCATTCTCATGATAGTGTGGCATTCCTAGAAATTCTCCTAACAGCATAGGCTGTTGGATCCCAATAGCTAAAGTTTTTTCCCCTGCATTCTCTTTGACTTTCTTTCCCCTCCACTTCCCACCACTCCCATTAAGCCATGCCACCCAATTACCTAAAAATGTTCCTATAATGTCTCTCCTGAGATATCTCATTTAAACCAATAGGAAAGTATCATGTTGCCCCACTCCCTATTGAATTTCTAAAATGCATCCCCCAATCTATATCCACTCTCCCTCATTTAAAATATTCATATTAATTAATAAATAGTTAAATGCGGTTAATATTTAATCCCACCCATATTCAATGAGTATTAAATAGTGTTATTACCAAAAGTTAATAAATACGATTAGTAAATTACGAAAAATTAATAAATATTGTCATTAACTAACTTATTAACAACATTTTATAGAAATTGAAGACTCTTTAACTAATTTCTATAAAATTGAGAATTATATTTAACAATTATTAAAAAGTATAAAATTTTAAATGTTGTTATTATTATAATTAATAACCAAATACAAATGGGGGAACAAAATATTATAATGTTAGAAAAGATAAATTAGTGTAATTTTGTTAGTAAACTACCAAATAAAAATATATATTTAATAACAATTTAAAAAAAAATTCAATAAATCCCCATAGTTACACAAATGTAATAATTGTTTCAAAAATTTTCATAAAACTACATTTTCATAAAATAACATTTTTGAAATTAAAAGAAATAAAGTATTTGAATGTTTATTTAAAATGCATTAAATAATTATTGAAAAATATTAAAAAATTTTGGAAAATTTGGGAAAATTTATTACATTTAATAGATTTTGGAAAATCATAAAAATTATGTAATTTTCATTGCAAATTATTGTAAATTATTAAAGATAAATGACT